GGCCTTCCAGCCCTGGTGGCCCACGCGGAGGAGACAGACCAGCCTCCCCACTCAGCCTTTTCTAAGTTGCTGACTCACAAAATGGTGAGCAAAAGAAAACGGCTGTTTCCATCCACTAAGTTTTGGGGGCAGTTTGTTCACCCCGCAACGAACAGCCCCGACAGAATTCTAAGGCCTGGCGCCTTTTCCTGCGGGAAGCTCCCTGGGGGCCCAGGCCTTGCTGAGCCACCACCCTCGCTCGCTCGTCAGGGCGCCGTTTCTTTTCACATGGCGCCCTCTTCACTTTAGGAACCAAGGAAACTGTCGAATGGAAAGTGGAACCAGAAGGTTCTCCTCTGTCCCTTGTGAACGACCGCCCGCCCTTCCTCCGAGCGCCTGGGAGGAGCCTTCCCGTCTCGCGCTTTCGCGGCCCCGGCCGCCCCGCCCTGTGATGGTGGCTGGGTGGGCGCACCCCCTCAGGCACCACGGAGCCGGGGTTCTGTGGGAGGGCAGGGCTCCTCCTGGTGGGACCTGTTTCATACCCACACTTAGAACGGCTTGGTGGCTCCCCCGCTTTCTCTTTAGGGAGTGATCTTTGTGTGTGCGCGCTCCTCGGGGAGCGATGACAACTGAACCGCCCCTGCGAGCGGCAGCCACGGGCAACTGCCGAGGCTTCCGTTGCTCTTCTCCGCCCACAGAAAATAACTTCTCCTGAAACCTGTCCTCTGGCCAAGGCTTGCCCCCCACCCCACTCCAACTCCCGCTCAGCAGGGGGCTTTCCTTTTCTGTTAACTTTAGAACATATTCCGATGTCTGTCTCCAGATTTTGGGGCGTGTGGCCCCAGCTTCCTTTGGAAACTTTGCTCAGATCCCAGTGTGTCGGGAAGCCCTTCTGTGCTCCCCCGCCCACCGCCTATTCACCCCCAGCGGAGGGACTGGAGCCCATGCACGGGTGGCAGGGGGTGGGGGGCGGCTGCGCTTCTGCACGCGGTGGCTGTAGCCCACGTCTTCACAGCAGGGGTGAGAGAGGCTGGGTGAGGTGGGGCAGAGTCAGCCCTCAGCGGGTGGGCGTGCCGCCCCCAGAGCTTGCTAGCCTCGTGACCCGTTCTAGGCATATTAAGATGCCTTCAAACCTCTGTTTCTGGGTCAAACGGGACCCAGAAATAATGTCTGCAAAGCACCAGGCAGCACGTGGGGCACGTGTTGGATCCAGAGGAAAGAGTACCTACCACAGTGAGGAGGACGATGGTGGCGATTCGGGGGAGCCTGGCCTCTCAGACAGGGCTGGTGACAGGATGGGCTTCGCGCAGAAAGTTCTGGCTGCGTGGCCACAAAAACTAGCTGCTCCCAAAGTGCTTTCCTCAGGGGCATAGAGAACTGCCTTTGAAAATGATCTACGTGCATGGAAAAGCGATGAGATGCCGTGACCCGCTGGCTCTCCCTGAGCAGACCCAAAATCTGAGTCTTTGCAGAGAGGAAAGGTGAGTATCAATTTTCCCTTCTGTTCTAAGGCAGAGTTCCTTGGAGGCCGGTGCTATAAATATAAGAGTATAATTATTTTTTTCTTGAAGCCTCATGTAAAATAGGAGTAATGCTGATTGGTTTAAATTAAAAGTAAGTCCAGTGTGGCGAATCTAGGGCTGGAGGGGGGAAGCCTGTGGACTTTGAGTCATCGATCTCAGTGTGAGTTCAGAACCCCACGTGCTGGACACACAGTTGGGGGCCAGTGACTTTACCTTTCTGTGCCTCAGCATCTTCACCTGTAAAATGGGACCATCCCTGCCACTTGTGGGACACAGGGCGAGGTAAGGTATGCGAAGTGCCTAGCCCAGAGGCAGTGCGCTGGCTGTGGTCTAAGTGACACAGGAAGAGGCGGGGAGGGGGCTGTGGACTTCCTGGCTGAGGCCAGAGAGGGCTGCGGGCACCCCCGGATGGCCGTGGCGCGGGTACCTCCGGGCCAGCTGCGCGGAGTTCAGGCTCCTCCTGGCCTGAGTGACTGAGGTGGGGTTTCGGACAGAGTCCCTCCGATGGGAGCGGAAGTGCAGGGTGGTCTCCTTCCTACGGCTTCCCTCCCCAGAAGCCAAACACCCAGCATTTTTTAAAAGGGCCCCAGTGCCCCCCAGTTCGCAGCCCGTCCCCCCTTTATCCTCTCAGACGGTAACGCAGCTCGAGTGGAGGCCGTTTCTTTAAAACCTTTATTAGCGCCTGGAGGAAAATAATGCCACGTGACAACGCACAGGTCCTGCTGCCTAAATCCATAACAGAAAGAGACATTATGAGCGAGCGAGCTCAGCCGGTGCCAATTCTGAGATCAGAAGAGGTGGTTCTTCCTTAGGAAATGGGCCCTGGGCGCATTGTTTTCCCAAGCTGCGCTTGCGAAGCCTTCTCCTTGGTCGGGGTTTGAATTTCTCCCTTTGTGTGTGTGTCAAAGTGTGGCTACAGTTCTGGGCTGGTGTTTGCTATTAGTTTTGGGTGTCCGCCTGTCAGTCGATTCAGTCCTCTCGTTTCAGAAGAACAGGGCTATTTATTGACACAAAGGGGAGGTGTTAGATCATCTTGTTAAGATGCAAAGCTCAAAATAAACATTATATCTTTACTTGGAAATCCACATCCTTCCTCAAAGGAAGGCTCATGAGTAAATTTGTATGAAGCACGAAGCCCAAGTGCAGGCTCTATTTTTAATGAAGGCTTTGCTGACGTTTTAGGTCGTACAAATGCCTGTCTGCCAACGCTCCCAGGAGTTTGGACTTTCCTCGGTTTTGAGCAAAAGAACCTTAGCAATACCTCCTATTGCCAGCTTTAAAACATTAGGAACCAGAATGGAACGCTAGCTACTGAACTTTGGAGAAGAAACAGACCGGTGGCATGAAAAACAAACAGCAGCGATCATTGAAGGGGTTCAAAGGAACACAGTGAGCGATTTTATGCCTTAGGGGGAAGATAATAAATACAAATGACACATATTTACAGTAGAAGCAACACATATGACATTGACACTGAGGGAAATATAAAAGCGATGCCTCTCACATGCCCAGCCCAGCAGCCGGCGAACAAATGAACAGCTGACCCAGCAACGCGGGCACATGTTACTGCTTCAGCTCTTGAGTGACGTAAGGAGGAGAGTCAGCATGCGGCCGTGACCCGTGGCATGAGACGGCCACAGTTTACGCTCCGTTCCCATGGCAGAGCCTGACACACCGGTCCTCCCCGTGCCCCGCAGGCAGGGCTGGATTAAGTGCACCATCTCCTCTGCTTTCTGCAGCTCCAGCTCTTTCTGGGTGCTTCTCCAGCAGTGGGTCCCCCTCCCCCCAGCACCCCACATGGGTCGTGAAAGATTGGCAGCAGGGATGGGGGCCCAGAAGTCCTAGCTGTGTTTTGGGTAAGGCCTTCCCTGCAACAAGTCATTTTAGAGGAGATAAATTTAGCTCCCTTATCTCTGGCTTCAGGCTGCTTTCAGGGCGAGCTAGGAGCTGACATAAACGGGGGGTGCCGCTCAGCAGAACGGGGCTCAGCGATCTTGGGTGTAAGAGCCAAATCCAGTCGGGCGCCTGTTAAGTAAAATTGTATTGGCGCGGAGCCAAGCCTGTGATGTCTCGTCTGTGTGTGTCTGCTTTCGTGCCACAGTGGCAGCGTTGAGTCATTGTGACAGAAACCGTATGACCCGCCAAACTGGGAACAGTGTATTTCCTCTCCGGGTCTTCACAAAAAGCTCACCGGTCCTGCTCTAGAAGGACCTGGCCCAGGACCCTTGTCCCCTGCTTGCCATCCTGAGCACCTACTTGAGTGCTGGCTGCAAGAAAGGATAGCCTTTCATCTGAGACCCATTAAGAGAGAAAAGAAAAAGGCCTCGGTCTGAAACACTGTAAGCAAGCGCAGGAACACCTCTGTGGACACTTTGTATTAGAATCTACTTTCTCCTGGCATTTTCGGTTCTGTCTCTCTTCCCCGGCTTTCTTTTGTCCACTCCGACTCTTTTCCGCGTTGCTGAATTGCCAACCCAGAGCTGGAAAATCCTGGCCCTGCACATGATTTTCGGCCACTCCTCCATATGTGTGAAAGGCCGGCGATCCCCGATGGGAATTACCGAGTGGCCTTGCTTCTCTCTGCCCTGGTCTGCCTTCCAGCAGCGCGGGGAAGCCAGCTGTCCAGTGCGGCTCCGGGAACCCAGGCTGCGGGGCTTCATCGAGCTGGGCGGGGGGTCGAGGTGAGACGGTGAGATTGTGAGATGCGGGGGGATCCGTCAGATGTTCTCGTGTGCACTTTCCCCCGGACATGGGGTTCGCCCTCGGTGGCTACCAGCCCCACTGGGCCGTCAGAGGTACAGCGACATTGCTCTAGAATTCCTTTGAAAATAGTATTTCAAACAAACAAACAAAATCAGCCCCCAAAGATGGGCTGGGTTTTTTAAAAATTTTGGTTTGTTTTTCCTTTGAGCTGGTTTTAATGACCCAGTTACTTTGTTTGAAAGCCATTTATTTAGATGAGAGATATGTAGATGTAACTGGATAAATAAAAAAGTGAAATCAAGACTTGAAGCAGTGGTTAAAATACAAACACACGGGCCACTCCCTCAGACAGGGTGCCCCAGACAGAACAATGGCTCAGAAGTTACACTTAGAACCCTCGCCCTCCCCGCCCCCCAAGAAGCTCCAAACCTCCAGGTCCCATGCAAAAACTGAATTTCCATTTGGCACCAAGCACCCCGCATGGCCCCTGCATCCTCTCCACCCTTCTCCTTCCCAGGGAGATTTTCATGTCCGTTCCCCCACCAGAACCTGCCGCCCTCCACCGAGACAGCACCAGACGGGCGCAGCACCAAGCGCATGGTCCAGCCGGGTGTGCCCGCTGCCCCCTCCCCGGCCCACCGCCCGCCCAGCAGAGGAAGCCGCAAGCCGTGCCCAGTGGCTCCACGGATGGAAGGAAGACAAGGCTACAGGGAGCGCACGTGGTGTGTCCACGGGAGGCGCAAGCGTGGCCCAGCCGAGACCTCGCCGCCGCCTGGGGAGTCTCCGCCTCACCTGTTCATTCCGCTAACATACACCTCCATCCAGTCCGCAATCCCTACCAAATCCTGTGTGTGACATCCCCCCTCTTTAAAGGCAAATGTCTTGGAATGTCCATAGAGAAGAAAATGTACGGCGCAGAGGAACGCTTTCCAGGCCGGGCTTTCGGTTTCACCTCCGGATGTCGGAATACTCGGCCTGTTCCTCCTCCCACTCGCTGCTTCCGGAAGTTCCCTGGGACACGTGGTCCGCTGCTCGGCCCCGGGCGTGGACGTGCGCGTGAATGGCGCTCTTGCTGCCCCTCTCGCTCTTGGCACCTCGGCCGCTCTCCCTGCTGCCGGGCTCCAAGAGGTGGTGCCCCGTGTCCCGGGGGTGGGCCCTGGAGGGCTTGGCTCTGTCCCCCTGTGGCGGGTGCTCAGGGGGCGCTGTGGGCGGCCTCTGGATGGCCGAGGTGCAGAAGCTCAGGATGGAACACAGGCTGCCCCAGTTCTGCTCACACTGAGCCTGCACGCTGTGGGTGATGGCCTCCTTCACCTCCTCCCCGCAGGTCAGCAGCAGGTTCACCAGGTCCACGTAGGGTCTAGGCATAGAGAGCAGAGAGACCGGGAATGGCACCCATCCTGCCTGGGCCTCTCAGGCCGTGACCGTAGCAGGGACCGTAGAGGTGGCAAGCCCAGGGCTTGGCTGGGGTTTGGTGGGGTGGAAGAGCTTTCTGGAACTGCCTCCGGCCTTTACCCATAGCCTATGCCGTACTGGTCTCAACCACCATTTACTGGGCGCCCCTTATGTGCCAGGCCCCGTGCCAGGCTTGGGGGAGCGTGAGGGGCTTGGGGCAGAGCCGATGCATAGGTGCCCATAGTGGAGGAGGAGCCTCTGGGGAAGGTGGGCGGACAATGCCAGCGGGGCAGCCGAGCAAACGGTGACAGGAGGCCCGGGAGCCCTGGGCTCGCTTCAGGGCGTGCTGGGCGGGGTTCAGTGGGCGTGAGAGGAGCCTTCGGGGCCAGAGGGGGGGTAATTAGGCAAGTGGTGAAGGGCCTCAATACCAATCCAAGGAGTCTTTCTGGTAGGAAGGCAGGAGTCCTTGCAGGTCTGGGACGCGGGGAGCCCCAGATTGTCCCCTCACTCGTGGCGTCAGCAGGGCCACCTGGCTGTGTCACTCTTCCACATAAGCCTCCTCTGAGTGAGGCTCCCCAGGAGCCATTTCCCCGAGTCTGTCTCAGTCCCTGGTTTAGGCTCATGACCCAGAAGGATGATTTTGGAAGTTACTGGGCGCACGTCCTCATGCACCTGGACGAGCCTGGCCCAGGACGAGAGGGTGGGGGACACCGCCTCCCTGGGACGTCACCTCCCAGAGAGCGTGCCTCTGTGTCAGCATTCAGGGCTGAGGAGCGGGGCTGGCTGGCTAAGCACCTTCCCAAGGGGCTTCCCCAGAGCCGGAGGTGAGGGCTGGCCGCGAGGGGCCTGTGCGTTTGGAATGAAAGCCAGCTGTCTCCGAAATAAACACTCTCGGTTCTGGAGGGGACAGCAGGCTGCTCAGGCCGTTCCAGCGGCCGTGGGTCTGTCTTTAGGGAAAGTGCGGGAGCGGGGACCCCTTGATGCCGACCTTCCTCCTGGGCTGGGAGTTGCGTGCAGAAGGTGGGGACAGGGTGCTTGCTTTTTATATTTAGGGGTCCCCAGCAGGAGGTGGCAAAAGCCCTTCCTACACCTCCCTGGTCCTTTCTCATCCCTGGGCGGGCGTGGGAGGTTTCCTGCGGCTCGCCGGCCTTCCGAAGCAGGCCTCAGCCAGCGGAGTCCCGGGTCTCTGACTGTGAGCCTCGCAGCCGTCACCTCGGGCAGCAAAATCACTCTGGACCACGGTCTACGGCCCCTGACTGTTTCCCCTGTGAGCCTGGGCCACCTGGGCGGCTGCATCGTGTATAGCCCACTTACTCTTTTCTTTGCCAGTTGGCCATGGTTGCTAGGCAGGAAGGCAGACTGTGTTAAGCCCTGGGAAGTCGTTTACTGCCATTTTTATGAGTTAGTTGTAGTTGAGTGAACTGTCCTCATTTCATAGATACAAAGATGGACTCAAGGTGGGGAGAAAGTGCTTTTGGAAGCTTCTGGGCCTGGGCAGCCACGGGCTGGGCTGAGAGGGGAGAGGAGGGATGTTCTGGCCAATCAATCGGGCTGCCTTACAAGGCCTCCTAGATGCCTTTGGAGTCTGCGCGTGGCTGATGGGAAGGGAGCTGAAGCTCTCTAAGACAGGCCCCTAACAGTGGCAAGGAGACAAGGGCAGTTATGGCACTTGTCGTCTTGGGCTGGGAGAGGAGAACATGGGGCAACACAGGGAAGATGGTCAGTTTGTGCTAGTTTCCTTCCCTCCCTGTGCCTCAGGGAGTTCAAGTTCACCAAGTGGGTACCTGCTACAGGAGCACCTGATTGTCCCTGGCTCTGCTCTGGGCCCTAGGAGCCAATTGCAGAGGCTGAGAATCTGTCTGTCTTTTGGGGACACTAAACTGATGCTCCTCTCACGTTTCCTTCCCCGGAGTAAGGGGAGGGCTCTTGTCCCCTTCGCCCGGGAGGTCTGCCTGCCAGATGGCTCTCGGTACCCAAGGTGGGCCCAAGAGGGCCGGACCGTTCCACATGTCCTGTGGCCACTGGCTTCCTGAGCTGTGGACCATGGGGAGGGGTGCGTGTCGCTCTACGTTGAGCTCTGAGCTGGCGTGGTGTCCTGTCAGGCTGAAGATCAGCCCGTGTCTAATGACACAGCCCAGCTCTCTCAACTGGGTCTCTGCAAGGAGAAAGGATTTTAAAAAGAAAGTACTTGGAAGGGGATATGCCTGGAGGCGGCCAGCACCCAGCACCCAGCGACAGGGTATGCGGTGGCCAAGGTGGTTGATATGGAGCCAGTGGGGCGGGAAGAGGTGAGGGGACCTCTTTAATCGGATGTGACAGTGTTTGGGGGTGAGTGGGGTTGGGGTTGAGGACTGGGGGTCATGTGGTTACTGGGGTGACTACGATTTCCTCCTCTCTAAAGTGAAAAGCAAATTCAATTCTCATTTTCTATCTCTGGGACCAATGCCACACATTCTTAAATGGTCGTCTTGATCTGGGGGGGACTGACGAGATCCTTTGTGCCAAAATCAGTTAAGATAGTTTGAAAAAAAAAACTAACCCCAAGAAACTCATTCAAGTGAATGCACTACATGGTCGTGGCTTCAGAAGGGGCAGTAGTGGGGGCTGGTGTGGGGCTGGGGTTAGGCGGGACCCGCTGCCTGGAGGGGCCGCCTTAGAGGAGGCGAGAGGGCTTGGGTTCAGGGCAGTGAGTCTTCGTAAAAGAGGCCGGGGCATCCTTTTGGGGTGGGCCTCCTGAATTTCCAGAGTGGGCTGGGGGGGGGGCTACATGTTTGTTCTAAATGAGGCAGGGAACCCTTGGAGGTTAAGGGTCCAGGGCCCCAGGGGACACAGGAAGCCACAGTGCTTTGCTGCTGCTTCAATGCAGGGGCGGGGGTGGACTTTAAAACCTGCAGTTTTCTGAAGGAAGATTTTTCTTCAAAAAGACAGTTTTCTTGGCTCTAGGAATATATCAAGGACTTATAAACTAGCTCCCCGTGGTCCATTCTTGGAGCCAATACATTCACTGTCTCTAATGGGACGTGGCTTTTGGACAAACGACCTTCATGAGTTTGTCGGCCATATGGGCATTTGTGTCTTCCAGGGGCGCCTTGAAGGGACTTTCACAGTACTCGCCTCGTGTAAAGGGGAAGCCCCCGGCCACACGTGGGGACCAAGGAGCCTCTCGCAGGCCTAGTGGGGAGAGGGCAGGGCCACAGCAAGGAGGCTCGGGGTCCGCTCCTGGCCGCTGGCTCCAGGCGCGTGTCTCACCCATTCCCGTGCTGGAAAGTGGGAATCAAATCTCAAGGGAGGTTTTCAAACTCGGCTTCCCTTCCCTCCTCCGTAAAGTGGGGATAGTCACCTCCATCTTGCAGCGGTGGTAGGAAAGACAACTGAGACAATCCAGGGAAAGCCCCTGGCCCCGGGCCTGGCCTGCTCAAAAAATGCTTTTATCTCATTCGAGTTTTTGTTGCTCTGTCTCTGTACAGGTATTTGGTAGAATAAAAAAATGTTTTATCAAGCCCTAGTGTGACTCAAAGGGAAGAGCTGCTTGTGGAGATTCACGGTGAATCTTATGATTCTAACACTCACCAGGGTGTGGCAAGATACCTAGATCCTCATGACCAAGTGGAAAGTGACAGCAGGTTGTTGTCCCTCGTGACCTAAGTGGTATAGGTGGGTGGGGAGCAGCCCATTGCGGGAACGTAGCTGGGGGAGATCAGCACGAAGGAACGAGAGTTCACAAGCTTGTACTGAGTTGGCCCAATGAGTCACCGTACAAAGGGGAACGGTGCCATCAAGCTGACAATGACTTGTCCTGGGCTGCTCAGCCAGGAGCTTGCTTTCTGTCCTAATTCTCTGAAGAAGGAGGCATCGTAACCTCCAGGGACTGTCGACCGCTTCGTGCGAGGAGCAGAGGTGTGCCTGAGGCCTCGCCATTCTGCAAGATTGAGGACGCACTCGATGGTGCGCTTTTTAAGGAGCGAGACATCCTGGGCTTGTTTCTGAACCTCAAGTCTTCAAAGAAGTCAGTCCCTGTTTCCTTGCTTTGGCATAAAGGTGTTGGGCCGAGTTTTGGACACTTGTTTTGCATTTTTCTCCGGGAGGCCATTCGTGTGCTAGAGAAGGAGAACTGGACTTTCTAAGGGCAAGGGGAGCCGATGGAAGCAGGAAACAAAGAAGCCACTGCTGTCAGCGGCTGGCCGTGCAGAGAGTAGGGTCTGGAGCCGAACTGCCTGGCTCAGGTCCTGGCTTTGCCTCTCATTCTTGGTGACCCGGACCTCGGTGTATCTCAGTTTTCTCATCTGGAAAACGGAGGCAAGGATGGGGCCAGCACAGGGCTATTGTCGGGGGCAAGTGAAAAATTCAGAGAAGGCGCTCGGCCGCCTGCCTGGTACCCGGTGAATGCTGGGCAGGTGTCACCGGCTCTCAGTGGTCTCTCGGGGCCCCTGCAGAGCTACGGGGAACACTCAGAGAACGGTGGGGTCTTGGCCGAGGGGAAGACAATGGGCATTTCTGAATCCCACCCATTTCATGCTTAGTAAAAACGTTTCCTGTTCCTATTGCATTTGACTTTGAAACCGATGGTGGAAACTTCTTTCGCTTTCCCTAAAGGTCAGCAGGAAAGGCGCTCCCAGGGGAGCCAGGGCAGCTTTCGGAGGTAAAACGCAACCTCCCCTGTCCATCCGTCCGAAAGGACAGCTCAGTCCCTACACACAGGCCCCCGAACCGTGACCCCTGGGGACACTCACTCGTGCAGCAGCAGGTCCTTGAAGTGGATCATCTCGGCCATCACCCGCGTGTTGTCCCGGGCTGCCGAGCACAGGTCGTGTTTGAGGTAGCACTCCCGCTGCAGCTGCGACACCATGTCCTTGATGGCCGGACACTTCCGGCTTATGCAGCCGAACCGGTGGCGCAGAGCATGGGCCTTACACTTCAAGGCGTCTTTGATGAATGACTTGCCCTGCAGACAGAGGACAGAGGAGGGAGAGGGGGCAGGAGAGACGAGGCCTTGTTACACGCTCAGACACGGACCCTGTTGGCCTCACACAGGAGCTTTTCGAGAGCTGAACCCCCAAGCCCTGCTGCCGACTGACATCCTTGCAGGTGACATGCTGGCGCTTCAACGGGAGGTGTGTCCAGACTGACAAGACACCTCTGGCGTTTGGCCAAAAGGATGCCCCTCGGGGAGACTGACAGAGCTGCCTCCTGCCTCCCCCGCTGCTCTGCTAGCGTCCCTCAGGCTGGGGCTTTCGTGGCTGGCTGTCCCCAAGGCAGACGGACCGGGGTTGGCCGTTGGGTGGCAACTTTTCTGGAACATGAGGGGACTTTGGCCAGACATTATTCCAGAATCCCTCGGTGGTTCCCAGCAAGCCTTTTCCCCAAGTAGAAAGTGCCTGCTTCTCCAAGTCTCACACCTTTCCTCTCCCTTCGACCCAACGAGTGCGAGTGCGTCAGGCGGGGCTGCTAATGGTGCCTGTCCTTTCTGCCGCCACGCCTCCCAGCGCCCCAAGCCCATACTCCTGTCTCCCCCATCTTTTAAGGAGGAGCATTCTTTTCCTTTTTGAAAACCATTCGACTCCTTTAAACTGTTAGGATTACTGCCTCTAAAAGGCCCGCCTGGCACACTGCCTGGCAGCATCTGGCTCGGCCGCCAGCCCCGCCCCCGCGCCCTGCCTCTGAGTGGCGAAGGCAGCCAGGCATACATCTGGCCCACACTTCTCTTTCCTGGCAACCCCTTTAGATTGTTCTTATCCTAGAAAGGAGACAGCTGTTGGGGGTGTGGAGGCGAGCTGGGCCGTTAGCTCCCTTACCAGCCCCGGGGGCAGAGAGGCATTGTGGGAGACCTACCAGGGATGCCATGCCCCCATTACTATAGAAACGAGCTGTCCTGAGCGGGGTCACCCCTGGTTTTAGACAGGCCCAGAAGGAACGAAGTTGAGAAAATAAAAGGGTTTAGGTTGGGAGTGGGAAGCCAGCCAGCATGTTTATTTCGGTTCTTCCCTTCAGAAGCAATCGAAATGTCTAGAGATAGTGTCTGGTCACGGAAAACCACCTCCCCCCAGCCCCCTCTCCTCGACTCTCCACTGGGAGCCAAATAGGACGGAGGGCAGGGTGTGCCGGTTTGTGAAGTAGTTATGCACTGAGAAAGGACTTGTAAGGGGTGCTTCTGACTTGAGAACATACTCCTCTCAGTTGAGAATAAGAGGGAAGGTTAATTTATGCGAGGACTGCGGCAATCTGTTCTCGGTATTCCTCCCGACATCCTGTGGGGTCGCCCTGAAACACACGTCTTTCCTCCGGATTTCCTATTACGCTTCCTAATTCCAGTTCATCCAGAAGGGATGCTTGATTCGGGAGCCTCAAGGAGTTCAAACGTGCAACCTCTTCCCTTCGCCGGCTTCTGTTTCCCCTCCTGCCACCCCACATCCTCTGGCGGGTAGGCTGCCAGCCCGGCCGCATCCCTTCCGGGTTCCCAGGCATTGCTTTGTCAGGCTCTCTACAGGATGTCAGTAGAAGGTAGCCGGTGACGTTGATAAATCACACCTAAACTGTGGGCCTCATCTAAACGTTGTCATCGCTCTCCAGTGAGACGGGAGAGGACGTTTATGGGGGAGGATAACGGGGGCTTCACAGAGCCGAGATGGGCTGGGGAGGACATGAAGGTGGGCCTCATGCCACCTGACGTGTACGTGGGTGGTTGGCACTGGAGCCGGAAGTTTGCTCGTGGGGTTCTTTGCCTGCCCCACGCAGCAGCTGGGCTCTGCCCTGGGACCCTGGCCCCACCAGAGTGGGCCAGGCCCTGACTCTATTATACAGAGCAGAAGAAGAGTGCAGCCGTGACCGACTCATTCCTGGTTTTGACCTTGCAGGTGGGGAGAGGAGGCTCTGCTGCTCGGGAGGAAGACAAGCCTGCTCTCCCGGAGGCCTCGGTGTCTCCACGGTGCCTGCTCACACCGCCACCAGGAGGAGGTGAATTTCTCCAAACTTTGTGTCTCATTGATTCTTGCCTACTAGGGAAAAGCAGCTGTTGGCATGTATAATTGGAGTCTCTGCCCTTCTGCTCCTCAACCTGGTGCTCCTATGGGATGGGCCTTGCAGCCTGGGTTCGGGGTGGCCGGAGGTAGTGCCCCCACCCCCACAAGACAGACGTTTATCATGATCTTTGTCTTCTCGGCCGAGGAGCCTCAGATCACTGTGCCACTTAGTCTCCTGTCCACTTTGTCTGTGTAGACACAGCTTGAGTGGAGGAGGATTTAGCCTGCAGGACAGCCCCAGAGAGCGGAACTCCAGGGCTGTGGCAACGCGGGCTTCCTGCTGTGCACCTAGACTGACTTGTCAGTGCTAATACCACTCCAGCCATCAGCTCAGGAGACCCATGAACAAGTCTTTCCAAGGAGCATTTCAGCCATGCTACACTAACCCCAAACATTCTTTGCGCTCTATATGGTTTTTACCTGGGCATCAAATTTTCCAGCGTTGTGCAGAAAAGTCATGCAAATCCCATGTAAGCCCCGAATTTCACAAGAGTTGTTCTCGAAACATTCAAACACTCCACACCCCACATCGCCAGCGTTGACCAAACAGTGCTGGATTTCCGCTAAAATGAGAATTACATACAGATATATACAAAATTCTCAGCCATGCTGGGGAATGCAGAGAGGTTAGTTGAAATAAAAGTAATGACCGAAAGAAAATTTAAGGGGGAAAAAAAATGTTAGAAGGTCTATTTCAGGACCTAAAAAGCCAGGGAAAGAAAATGTCGTCATTTAATCTACCTATGAAAAATAGCTGTATGTGTAAATATTTGTAAAAAATTAGCCAAACCCACGTTACAAAAATCATACGCAGGAGTTAGGTCTGAGCACCTCATTTTTCATCCTTCCCATCTTATGGCAGTGTGTGTGGGAATTCTTAGCTTGAGAACAGAAGATAATTCAGCTTTCTAAACCCACAGACAAAAATAAGATTTTAAATGATTAGCTTGCCCCTCCCTCCTGTAGGCCGTCAATGAAATACCCTTCTCAACTTGGAACTTGAAGCTGCTGCTATTAAATCACAGCCATTTCCTTCCTGACCCCCAAATGAGAGCGTCCAAAAAGCAGTTTCAATTCAGCTTTATGATTCAACACCTAAAAATCACAACAAAATTCCTATTAAGGCAGCGCCTCCAAACCATCCGCATTAAAAATACCAGGCTAGGGAAACTGGTTCCCGGGCAGGCTCGGAATCCAGCGGGACGGGGGCTAGCCTTCAGGAACGCACCCTTCGAGGTCAGAAGCTCCTTTTAAATAGAGATCCGGTGTGAGATGTCACTTAATCCCCTAGAATTCCCGCGACCGGGACTTTGCCGCCCTCCTTCGCAGAATGTGGCCCTAATTCGTCTGTCTGAAAGGACCGAGTTGAGGGAGTTAACTGTCAAGCTGCCGTGTGCAAAGCCTCTCTGCCTTCCCTCCCCCCTTCCCAATGCCCGGACTTCAACCAACCACAAAATTACATCAGAAAAGTATATTTTGGAAGAAGGGCGGGTTAGGAGTAGATAATCCACATTCAACTTGAAGCTCCCGAAAGAAGGAGGGGCGTGTATTTGTTGAGGGTCACCAACCACCGAGAATTACGTTCAATTCTCAAGGAAAGAGCTGGAGAGGGGGAAGGGAGGGCGAGGATCCTCGGAGGAGCGGCTCGGACCTGGGCGAGGGCGCTCGCGTCCGGGGTGGGGGGCTCCGGGGTGATCCCACGCGTGGCCCCAGCGCGCTGGGCAGGAGCGCGCAGGGCCGTGAGTCAATCGCTTGGGCAGCCCCTAATGGGCGCCCGTGCATTCCTGCTCGTGCGGGAGCGCACGCTCCCCGCTGCCGGGCTCCGAGGTCCCCGAAATGAAGGGGGAACCGCCTAGAGCCAAGGAGCTGCAGGCAGGTTTTCTTTCTCTCCCCGGAGCTGGGAAAAGGGCCAGCCCCGCGCCCTGCACGCCTGGCTCTGCTCGGCGGCTTGCCGGTGAGCAGGGAGCCGGTTGAGCAGTCGTGGTGCACCGTTGGGGCCGTGTCACCATTTCGTGGCTTGCTGACCGCCTTGGAGCGGGGGGCTGCGGCAGCACCGCAGAGGTACGCTTTGCGCCACCCCCACCTCCTGTCCGAAAGCAAGCCCCCACCCCCGGGGGGAAGTTCACCACGCAAGGTCTCGCCTACAAAGTTCTCGGTTGTTGGGCATCTTTTGAGGAGGGGGAGGACAGCCGGCCGGATGGGAAGAGAAGTTCTCCCGGTGCAGGGTGCAGCCCAACCCCGGGGACCCTCCGCGCCTCCCGCGGGGCGGCCAGGCTGGAGCAGGAAGCTTTACACCGGACGGGGGAGCCCGGGGTCCGCACTGGCCCGGCCTTGCCAGGCGCTGCCTCATTTACCCTCGACCCCGGGCAGGATAGCAACAAGTCCTGCCCAAGCGATTTCATCACCCTGCCAGCACGTGCGGATTCCGGGCGCGCGGAGCCCGGCGCGGACCTCGCCTGGCCTCACGGTCTCCTCGGCGTGTCCCGCGCCACCCCAAGAGTTTGCACGGCCCTAGGTGGGCGCCCCGCTCCAGGCGAAGCGCCCAGGGAGCACTGCGTGGGGGCCCGGTGTCGTCTCCCAGCAGCTCCCCGCCGCGGGGGCGCACGAGCTTACCTGTGTTCTGCAGGGACAGGCGGCCTTTCTGCTGGGAGCCCCTGTCTTGGGGACCCTCCGGCGGGTTGGTAGCGTCGGTCCCCCGCGCCGGGTCGAAGGTGGTCAACACCAAAGCCAGGGTCACGAACTGGCCCAGCCGATCGGCACACATCGTTCTTGGCGTAAACCTCCCGCCGGGAGACCTGGAATCTTTGTGCTCCCCTCCCCCTCTTCCTCCTCCTTCGCCGCTTCCCCTCCTCCTCCCACTCTTCCTCCTTGCTCGCCTTCTCCCTCCTCCTCGCGGCCGAGGCTGGATAGAGGTTACCCAGCGCCCTCCCGTAGCTCTCCGGAGAGCATGTGACCAGGCTGTTAGCAGCACCGCGAGTGCCCGGCAATGGCAGGGATGGTGCCTCAAATATCCCTGGAAGCTCTGGTGTCACTTGAATGAAGGAGTCGAGCAGGTGTTGTCCCGGCGCCTGGACCAATCCGAGACCCCGGCCCGTTTGACAACACGGCCAGGGGCGGGGCCTGCGCCGAACTACTACGCGAGGAAGCCGGGCTCCGCCGGGAGCGCCCCACGAAGTTGCCGACCTGGCGTCGGCCACCGGTGTGCGTGCGTGTGTGAGTGTGTGTGAGCGAGCGCGGCCGGAGATGCGTGCGCGTGTGCGTGTGCGGGGGCTCCAGGGCAATGGCCGAACCGGCTTAAAAACAAAAGCGAGTTGCAGCTCCGGTTGCAGCTGAAGAAAGGCAACAGGGGAAGGTCTGCGCTGGGACAGCCTCCCCGGGCCCCTGGCTCGCATCACACCCACGTCGGACCTGCAAAGTTTCGTCTCTCCGCCGTTTGGAACTCAGTGAGAGTCCCAGCGCCGAGACCTTGACGGATGGAAGGAGTTTCGTGGACACAGTGATGCTGAGGGCAAACCGAGCCCATCTGGGAATCCCTGGCGTTGTGACGCTTTGCACTGAAGAAACCCTCAAACTCTTTAGGAGCAGAAGCACTAGATATAGGGCTTGGCCCGAGCAACTGCCCCGGCATCCCCCCTTTCTTTTTGCCCCACTGTGGTGGGCCGCCCAACGCCTGGGGTGCCAGTTTCTCCCCCTCCCCCAACCCAGACCGATTTCGGGCCGGGCTGCAGGGATCCAGGTGACAGCTTGGACTTGCATCATTTCCAGGCGGGTGGCAGGGAGGCCCAGGCAGCACTGAGTCAGCCGCCGCGGAGCATCGCTTGCCCAGGAGGCCGGAGCTTGAAAGGCAACTTTACGCGTCTCCAAACACACTTCCATTTTCCCCAAGCGCTACTCCCCCGTCCCACTCTGGGTTCCCTTTACTCTCCTCTCATCTGATGGGAATAGTTACCGCCCCCTCGCCCTCACAAAAACCCCGAGGAAATTCTCCCCATCTCTTCTCTGTTCTAGTTGGAGCTCCCTCCCCAAGCCCGCCCGGGGCAGGGTGCCCTCCCCCACCCCGCCCCCCGCTTTCTCCACCAGCGCGCGGAAGCCGGGAGAAAGTTGGGCGCCGCTCGGAGCCTCGCTTCCCCCGCTGTGTGTGTACGTGTGCACGCTCACGTCTCCCCGGCGCCGGGCCGGGGACAGGAACTGCTCCGCGCACCGTCAGTCGGATGGCGCAGCTCTGGGGGCTCGCGGGGCTGGGGGAGGGCGCTGTCTCCACCCTCCTGCGGGAGAACAGGTGAGCCCGGGTACCAGCTCCCACCCACCACCCCGCCCCGCTCCCAGACCCGGCCTCTGCGGTAATGCGCCGGGGAGGTTTCATCACCCGCCGCCTGCGGAGACCCGGCGCTGGGTCTCCGCGGCGGGACGCACTGCGAGCTTCCTAGGGGTCGCCCTGTGACAAGGCTGGGGGAGGGGGTGCAGAGATGCTCGGGCCAGGCCATCCTCCGGCCGCCTTTGGGCTTCCAGAAGAGCTTCCCTCCCAGGGTCCCGCTGCACTCAGGCGCGGGTCCAGGGCGGCCGCCGCTGGTCGCGGCTGGCCCGAGCGTCCTTCGGCCCTGAACTGGGAGGAGAAAGAGGAGGGGGCAGGGAAGGCGCCGCCCGAGTGGGCTCTATTCTGGGTTGCAGCACCGGGAGCAGCTGACCGCCATCCCTACCCGACTCTCAGCGCCCCAATAAACGGTCACTTTGAAGGTCTGAGTGCAGCCGTGGCAAGAAACTGACCACTCACGCCCATGATTCCAATAGCAATTACTTCCTGCCGCCTCAGATCTTTTGTGGAAACAGGTGGGGTGCAAATACATTAAAACAGGTGGTTCGCATTTCCCAGCCTGCTTTTGTTTGCACAGTGAACTTGGCTTCCCTCATTAGTTCATGAAAAACCAACTCCAGTAAATCCGTAAAAGACAAAACCTGACAAACAAACAGCGGCATTCTGCCCTCTCACCAGCCCCCTAAGCCCCTGAATGTCTTGGGCAGGCTTTCTTGCCGAGGAGGCCGATTCATAGGTGAGAACATGAGCAATATTGGCATTAAAAAAGGCAGCAGGCCACCTGGTTCTTTGAGCGGCAGAAACAGGAGAGGCCCAGCCTGCAGGAGCCCGGCCGCCTTTGCTGGAGGCAGACGCTTCAGTCGGCTGGGCTTCAGTCAGCTGGGCGGAAGGTGCCCAGCGCCCCTGGGGCAGCAGCCAGGCACGCGAAGGTCTGGGGCTCCTGCTTCCTCACGGCCTTTGGCGATGTGCTGCCGTGGGCCACCCTGTGTCCCCGGGGCTGCCCTCAGAGGACCTGCATCATTTAAAAATCCACCTTGAGGCTATTTGCTCTAGCCTCCCAGGGGACATTTGGGTCTCCCACCTGAGTCACTGGGCCATTAGAAGAAGACAAATGGTAGCTAGATGTTGAGGTGCTGCAAGTATAGGCGCTAGTGCTTAAAGGTTTTATCTCCAGGCCACTTGGCATCCAGAGGAGAAGACCCGTTCCAGCCGGTCACGCCAGGCAGAGTGTATTCTGCAGAGTCAGTAGGCAGTTTGCTGGGGTTGCCAGCCCAGGCAGAGGCCCGGGGTGGGGGGTGGGGTGGGAGGTGGGGGAGGGGAGCCTGGCTCCCTGACTTGGCTGCGATCTCCCCTCCTCATTGCTTTAGCTCTGTAACTCGGGCCTGGTTTGGCCGATTGTGGCTGATGGGAGTGGGCGTGCAGAGGGGACAGTAATAATAGCAACATTGTTATGACTATGAAGCTAACACGAATTGAGAGCAGACACTGTGCCACACACCAAGCTTGCGGCTTTGGTGTCCTCCCTAGATGGGAATTGAGACTGGGGAGGAGCGAGGCCGGGCCAGCTGGTGCCGGTTGCCCTGGGGCTTCAGCGGGGAGCCTGCCCGGATCAGCCCTCCTTCTCAGTTTAAGACCCAAGCAGCCTTAGGAAGGATGAGGCAGGCCTGCGTCTTGACACTCCAGGGCATCTGTGGTGGACACGTGGAACCCTCAGTTTTCTCTCTAACTCCCATTCACCAGTTAATCTCAGTTAAACACTTCATGAGTAGCTCTTGGGGGTGAGGGAGTCTGGGCTGGACTTTGAAAGGCCGGAGGATACTGACAAGGAGGGGGAGGAAAAGAGAGGGCCTGGTAGGTGGGAGAACCAGCAGGGATACATGCAGGGAGGGGGGTGGGGGGAGGTGTGTGTCTGGAATCAGGTTGCTGGGTTTGATTTTAAACTAAACCAAAGGTAGCTGGAAGATAAACTGGCAAGAGCGGCTGAGGCCGTGTAGTCCAGGCCTTTGTGACAAATCCGTGCTCGCCTTAAAAGACCTTGTTCTGCCATCGTGAGAGCAGGTAAGGGTGCGACTCCAGGAGGCGCCTAGACTCGCTCCCTTTCGGAATTAGGAACTGTGTGGAGCCCTGTGCCAACGCTGGGAAGAACGCCGACGAGAAGAATGGAAGTCATAGTCGGACTCTCGATGTGGGTTGCGATGCCCCGCGCCCAGGAGGTATTCTTGCTCAGGTGTGAGCAGGTGGGGCCGTGGAGGGAGGGTGGGAGCAGTTGCTTGGTGATGAGGCAGTTGTGTGGAGGGTGATGCATGCTGTTTCGCCCGGGCTTCCTGTGAGTTCTAGAGCCTGGGTGGAAAACGTGGCTTCCACGTGGAGAGCTCCTCCTGCTGTAGGCCCTGCCCCCTTGGGATGACTCTCTGGGCCGATGGCACCACCTTATGGTCATAGGGGGAACTGCCTGACCAAACAGCAGACTTCCCTGACTCCAGGGCCTGCCGCACTAATGCTGGGTCTCCGGACTCCTCCTCAATTTCCTTAGCCAACCAGTTCATGGTGATTTGGGCAAACCATCTCCCAATGAGAGGATTTAATCACCTGTCAGGGAAACCCCTTTCGAACTTTTTGCTTTTCCTCCTCATTCTTTGCTACCTTCCCACGTGAGCCCGAAATCTATCCTAATCATGGCTCCTTTGCATCACGCCTAAATGGAGGGCATGAAACAAGGCATCGAAGTGAAGCTGGCAGAGAGAAGACAGCACACTGCTGTTTTAGGCTCCCCAATTCTGGACGGCAGAAGTCCCTGCCTAGAAGGTCCCCATCTTTTCCCTTTGTCTCCTTTCATTAACCTGGTGGTTTCATTAAATCAAATTCAGCATGAAGGAGAATCTGTCTTCAGTGTTTGAGCTTGTTTCTTAGTGCCGCAACAGAATGGCTTTCTGCTGATTTTGACTGTAGAAGTACAGGGCTTCAACGACATTAGGAGTTCCGAAGGCTTCTGCTGGGCTGCTCTGGAGAAGCCCACCACCACTTACAATGCCGCTTATTGTATTCGGCACAGATAATGCCCCTTTTTTATTACAAAATCATAAGCCTGTAATTTTGTAACTTAGCAGTGTCACACTCCAGCACATCATATGATGTTTTAGGTGAAATGTTCACATTAAAACTCTAAATTATTACACCCGTATGATCACCCTACCAACCACACTCAAACGGGCGTTACTTCTGCCAAACCCTGTGGATTCTGAGTTTCCCCAAACAGCCAATTCCCAAAATTTGGGAACACTTTTGTGAATTGGACATTTCCTCTGTGTCATAGATGAATAGTCAAACTGTATCCCTGGACTGACAGAAAACACAAAAGATGAAAAAAAAAAAAAAAAACACAACCCGTAGTTAAAATAAGACCACTGGCGCCCTCACAATGAACCCATTTACTGGAAAGAATGTAATGGCGGTAGGTGTTAGGTGTCTGTGTTCTGAATTTTGTCTCAGTTCCTTGCTCTGAAGCCCGAA